CCGCCCGCCCCCCCGCCCGCCCGCCCCCCCCCCCCCCCCCGAAACTTCCCGCCCGAAGGCCTGGTGTTTCTTTTGTACCATAACTTTTCAGGATATTTTAATTCATGACCTATTTGTGTGTGCATGTTACGCCGTTTGTGGTGCGGAAGAACATTCCAAAACGGAAATTTATGCGACAATCCACAAAACATGGCAAACCTTGTGCGCGAAAAAACAGGAGCCCCACAGCATTCCTTTTTGGGAAGTCCTCTCACTCAACCACTAGCCGAAGGGCATACACTCTGAAGTAAAGTTCGGCTTCGGGACCTGCTTTGGTATCCGCTCGGACACGCCCATCGCAGGCTCCACCGGTGCCTCAACGGAAGCTTGGCTGAGCTGGGCGGGGTAGTAGACCCAGGTGTAAGAGCACTGCAGCCATCGGCAGGACAACCCCTCCCTTACCTCCTCAACGATGACGTCGTCGTCTGACTCGGGGTTCGAGTCCTCACCTCGGTACACGAAACACTCACAAATCGGGTACGAAGCATGTGCCACAGCTGAATGCTCTCATTGCTCCGCAACCATCTGCACATCCCACCCAAACATCCGCAACTTGTAACAGCCTAAGAGACAAACGAACTTCTGCAAAGTACGGATGCGGTATCTGAACCCGGAACTGATCCTGCGGGGCCTCCACCCCAACTTTGGGAGTGCAGGGTCGACGGCGGCCTCGCGAGTGAGCGGAGGCGCGACACCGTCACAGCCGCCTCCGCACTTTGTGCCTCAGGGCCCCCCTCCGAGGCTTCCATTCCGGCCCGGCGAGAAGCTTCGCCTGAATTTCAATGTACTGACCATATGAGCTCAGCGGAGGAGGTGTTCGGCGTTCCGAATGTGCCAATCCGACCTTCCGGTGACGAAAGCAAACCTTGCCAACGGAACGAAATCCAGAACCCCAAACCCTGCGCGGGCACGTAGGCCAGCTGAAGCTCTTGATGTTGCATTGTCAACACCTGAGCGGCATGGAATTAACTAGTCTAGGAAGCAAAAGCAATGAAAAGCAAAAGACTGCAACAACCCCACAACAAGTCATCATGAATGAGGTCTTGGGTTCCACACCTTCCGCTCCTGGCAACGGCAGGAAAACCAGCCGTTTGAGACAAAGAGGAGAGAGAGAAAGCACCGCTCGATTCAAAACCACCCTGTTCGGAACCACTGTTGTGATGAACCTCTTTGCAGCTTGACTGGCGCAGTTGTCTTGGTGGTCCCCCTTTAAACAGATGCCATGTTTTCACATTTCGGCCGCCCGCCTGACAATTCGCACTAAAGCGTGCTGCCAGCGAGTCGAAGCCTCGGAAGTGCAGCACCAGCAGCATGAGCAGCAGCAGGAATGGCAGCAGTGAGAGTCGAAGCAGAGGCACTGGAAAAAATGCAGCCGCGGCACGCGTCTCCAAGTCTTGCCCACACCTTCGGGCAAGGCAAGGCAACTTGCAGCCAAGTGAGCGTGCACGTGCGTGCTCCGACGAGGCCGAGTCTGAAACTGAGCTTGAGGAATGTGTCTAGATGACCTTTGATCCCTTCCTGCGTCCCGGTTCAAACATCTGAACCGTCAACTCCAGCCGCCCAAGCCCCCGGCTTCTGCAGCAACTGTCGCAGCTCTGCGGCAGCGCCAACGCCATCCTTGCGCTTGGGGGCATGGGAGCACCTTTGAAAAAAGCGTGTAGCCTTGTGCCGTCTTCGGACCGAGTCCTTCGCGGACCCCCGTGTAGCCTTGCAGAGCGCTCGGCGTTCCGCCTTTTGGCGGGGACAGACGCCCCCATCAGCAGAGGGAGGCAGACAGAGCAGAGTACAGAAGAAACGTGGGGAGGTGGGGATGAGACCTCAAAAACATCCACGCATATCCACGCATCCACGAGCCAATGGCCACCGCAAGGCACCCAGCAAATCAGGAGCACGCGTCATCTGTAGTTGTTCCGCGGTGCCTTCATTTCGGTGCAGAGCTCCTGCATGACGGCTCACAACGTCGCATCCCGTGAATTCATGGTCTTCGTACGACATGCAAAATATTCCAGCTCATCGCCCCGGATCAGCTCCGTACCTCACCGCCGTACCTCAAAGATCTTCTAACCATGTGCTGCACCCCAACCCTGCTTATCGCCTGAAGCTGTAGCATGGCTGCGGGCACCACTGCCCGTTGGGGCCGCCACCAGCGAGGCCTCAACACCAAGGCAAAGGGCACAACATGGCACGTGCCGCCTGGAACCTGTGATGACCTTCTTTGCATCTGAGGGCCGCTCCGCTGAAAGCGTCTGGGACCTGCAGAAACCTCAAAATGCAGGCATTAGCAACTTTGGTTGCTGCGAGAGCAGATGCTCTCTGCATTCCCTGCCATGCTTACTCAGTTTTCAACCTCTCGCCAAGTCAGACAACAAGGATGTGGGGTACGGTCATCGCAGTGGATCACCACTGAGGAGCTAAGACCAGCAACCCCACTGGTAGCCACCACTGGTCTGAGGTCGTCACCTTCTGGGTATCTGCCTGCAATGGTTCCTGCTGTCTGAAGGCAAGGAACATGATTCAGTCAAATCCGTAAGCCCGAACGTGCTTTCCGATTGAAACTTGGGATGACATGCCGTATCATCGAACCGAAGCTCCTGCTCGTGCGTCAGAGCCGTCGAAGCGACAGCACCAATTGCAGTATCTGCGGCTTCCAGCACGGGCACAGATGTCAGCAGCGCTGCCGACTCGAAACACTCCGCCATCAAAGGACCATGACCTGACATCGAAGCATGTTCTGGGCGTGTGCTATGCGCCCGTGCTCGCCGGGCCCTCTTCCGAACACCAACTGCAGACACCCTTCTTCTGGGGCCGAGCCACTTGACCGATCGGCCTCCTGGAGCACATCACCAGATTGAGGCACCATAGAGATCGGTTGCTTTAGGTCATCCTCCAGCTCTGCGACTTGCTCGACGAGCCTCGCAGGAGAAGCCGCCTCTAACCGCAAGGAGGCACAGATTGCAGCCTTGATTTCTCGCGAGCGCCCTCTGGCGGTGGATCCGGCTCCTGACAAGTGTAACTGCACAAGAATCGCTGCAGACTCTTCATCGACTGTCCCGTCCTGTGGTTTGTGGCTGTTCGGCCCGTCCTTCGTTTGCCTGGTGAGCATGCACTTGCTCCTTAGCGCCGGAATCTCGCTGATCAAATGCAGAACATTACAAAGCAGTGTTGACAACTACAAAATATCATCACTGTCCGTGATCTGCAAAGTACGATTGCACGCACATCTCTTCATACAGGGCCACACCGCTGCAGTCTCAGAGAGAAACCTGTACTCAACTATTAGCATCCCAGCTGCGAAACGACTCTCTTCGAATAAAAAAACCCAAACTCTCCCTCGCATCTCAAGGCAGTACGAGGCACAGAAGCTCCGAATCATAATCTTCCTGCAATCCACGAACGCGTGCAGAGACCTCAGCGTTGAGTTGCCATTAACGTGCTTTCAAAGGAAAGCTTCGTTCTGGACTACTCTCGACTGACCGTTCGCATCTGCGCAAAATACAGCAACTGACCATCAGCCGTCAGCATCATCACAAGAGTCACGAGTACAAGCAGTGAGTCCTCTCAACGTGCAAACCTGTCAACAAGTATCGTGACAAAGCCTACCAGGTGATCAGAATCTGGGCTTCCCTGCATGCAGACGAGGACGCAAGGCGCTTTGCCGCAGAGCCCCGCGGCGCTTCTGTGGGAAGTGGCGAGTCTACTGTCCGAAAGCACCCCCTCAGACGTGTTTGCGCCATACTGATTCTCTTCTCGGATTTGGCAGGGAGAGTTGCTGCAAGCCGGCGACCGCAAGCAGCATGCAAGGTTTCTCTTATACCCCACCCTTATCCAGAACAGGAGAATCATGATGCAGGTGAGCCCTAAGTTCAGGCGTTCAGCGAAAGCCGTTTCCAGAGAGCTGCCTCTACTCTACACAGACACCCGGATGCAGCAAGACACGGGTATTACCGGGTGAAACCAGGGACCAACCCCTAGATGTCGCGGAAAGGCCATATCTCCCGGCGGCACATGAAATTTTCGAATCCTCCATGGAGCAATCAATTTGAACTCCTTGCAAGGATGTCACACACACACAGACAAAAAAAAACTATCCAACTGCGTCGTTCGGCCGGAAAAAGGTTGAAACAACAACACGAAAGCCTGCAATGGGCTTTTGAGCTAAGTGTAGCGAAGAACCCACGCAGCCGTGACAAGCAATGTCGGAAGCGGACAGGCAAGACTGCGCCAAGGTCCCAACACGTATGGATCTTCTAGCAACACTTGTATTGAAACAGCGATCCTTTGGCACCTTGCGACGTCTTCGCCGAAGAGGCCTGTGCGCTTCCTGTTGGGCAAACACGCTCCGCAAAGCGAGATTCTGACTACTCTGCCCTGCTCCAGCTCTCGCCTGGTGGCCACTGTCCTCTTCCGTCCCGGCAGTGTCTGCAACGCTGCGCGAGCAAGAGCGGGGCCGCATGTGTGGGTTCTCCTGTCGCAGGTCAAACTCCCCTCCGTGCTCAAACACCCTCCCAAGCAAAGTCGTAACTTGGAGTCTTTTTTGGAGCAGAGGGAAGCAAAAGAGGAATAGGTTGCTGAGGCCACCAGGCGCATCCGGCAGGTATGCATGGCTACCCAGGTGCCCAAGTGCACATTGTCGAACTTGTTGGTGAAACCCTTCACTTTGTAACTTTCGTGCTTCCCAGAGCTTTGAAGCAAGGGCACACTAATTTTGATACTTTCCGAAGTTCTCAATCGCTCCCGCCACATTGCCATGCGCATTTTCGGGTGCGTATCGTCTTCTTGCCGGTTGTGTAGTGCATGTCCTGCGTCCCAGTGAGAGCCTCCGCTCCCGTAAGGTACGCGGGGCTTTGGACTGCGAGGTGCTCTTTCACAGTTTGGGTGCTTGCCGGCCTCACTGGCCTCCCTGTTCCATGAGCGAAGCCGCTGGCGGACCTGGATAGCATATCTGAGGAAGAAGCCACACACACTCGAATGCAAATCATTCTTGAAGATTGCAATGTGCAGTGGGCGCCTCCCCTTCCAAAAACCGTCTACATGCTGGTCAAAGCATTGATTGAACAAGAGTGTGTGCTTCACGCCAGACTCATGTTCAGCTCGCGTATGGGCCAAGCGGCTCGATCTGTGCCACTGTCCTGCAGCTGGGTGGCACTCAAAAAAGGTGGCCTAAGCTTGATTCAACTCACAAACATGTCATCATCATCATCATCATCATTTCAAACACTGTCCTTGCGCGGCTTGGACATATGTCTTCGCCGTTTGGGCCGTTTCTCGTCTGCACTTTCACCATTCTCGGACTCCCTGGCTCGGCGCGAGGGGGCGCGGATCCGCGGCCGCAGCACCTCAACAAAAGCTTGCGGGCTTTGGCATTCCGATGTTTTTCTCTCTGTCTTTCTGACCAGTTTGCAGTATGCAGTCTTAAAGGCCGAAGATGACGACGACGACGACGACGACGACGACCACGACCACGAGTGTTTTTTTAGACGTACCTTTACGTGACACTGTGTCCCACAAACAACCATTCAATGAGCATTAGTTACTCTTGCAGGGGCCGGGCACAGTAAAGCCCAAAGTATTGACGGGGCCAGGTCCACGTGGAATCAGCACCACACCCGGCATGGCTTGACACGGCCACAGAACATCGTACAAGTGTCCAATACCGAAACCGCATGATTTATGCAACTTCTGTTTCCTTGTCAGAACCGCTTCGCTTGGATGTTCTCAGCTCAATGATATTTGAAGACATCACCGCATGCATGCAAACCAAAGCTTTCAATGACCGGAGCCCAAACAATTGTCTGCACGCATGTATCATGCAACCACAACGTTCACCGCAAGGAACAGATTTTTGTGTTTTTGTTTCACTTCTTCCTCGGTTCTGGTGCCCATACCCCAACCACGCTGCTTGTGCTTTTGGTTCGATCATGCTTGATGCGAACCACAAAATAGCCCAACTTGCTGCAACTGGGGGAAGTTTAAATCATGAGTAACGAGAAATGGACGGCAATGCATCTTGCAACAATATGTAAACAACAGTAAATAACCATTACAGTGGTATGAATCTGACGGAAAACTTCAAATCAAGCAAGAATATTTTTTCGGAACGGGTCCGTTGGAATGCAATTGCCGTGGGGCATCAAAAAACATAAACCAAAGCCGAAACAAAAGAACACCTAATGGTTCAGACCACCCTTTTCGCCACCTCAGGCATAGTGGGCGTGAGTGTCTGTCCTATGATTCCCACGCTCTTCTCAAAATGGTCTACAAATTGGGCAAACCAAAACGCCAGAATGCTAATACCATGCCAGAGCCATACCAGAGCCATGCCAAAGGTTTAGTTTGAAACAACCTTCAAGGTTCAACGAAACAGTTCTCTCAACTCAAGTTTAAAGCTGCGTTGTGTTGTGTAACAAGCATAAAAAACGTCGCGTCTATGTTCTATGCTAGAGCTTGCTTTGACCTAGTAAGCAAAAAGACAAGAAGCAGTTGCGCTCTTCCTTTTTTCCGCGAGGGTTGC